ATTAATTAGGATATCTGGCTATGTGGATTGCTTCTAACATTCCACTCCCCCTAACTCATTTTTTTTCAGATTTTTTTTCTAGTCTATTACAACCCAATAAAAAAAAAAATTTTATCACCCTAGCGCGTGTATGTACTGAAAAAATAAATATTTTTGAAGAATTTTTTTATTTAATTATTGTTTTCATTTTGTTTTAATTAATTACTAGATATTTTTTTGTATTATTTCAATCATGTTTCATTTTGAATATCAATGCACCAGGGTGATAATTGGCTTTAGCAAAATAAAACATTAAAAAAGCCTCCCTCCCTTACTACTTTTCCAGTCTATAGGGTGATAAACTAATAATATATTTTATAGGACCTAATATAATAAAGTAGCAGCTGCAACTTGCTTTACATAATTTTATACGTACATACATTCATCAGTGACGGATCCAGGCATTTGATAAAGAGGGGCCCGGGGAGGGAATGTTACTAATGGAGGGTTCAGACCTGTAATTTAACTGTTCCCTGGTTCAGACTAATTCAGCCTCACCATGGTTGGTGACTGAGGCACGAAAATTTAAATCAATGGCCACTCCCATGGCCGGAAAAGGTGTTCTCAAAACTGAATTTGAATGCCATTTCCGTCCCCCGCCATCCCCCATTCACTATATTTAGGGGAGTTTTATTATTTATAATAACAGGCTATATAGGCCTATTTAACTATATAGGCTATATAATTCCCTGAAGTACTATGTTCACGAGCTGACACAGTGCCTTTATTAGGCTAGAATGATTTATTCCAATCATGATTGGCAGCTCTTGTGTCTCGTATAATGACGAAAGCAGTAACCTAGAATTTCAGTGAAATAAAAATAACTATCCTACTGTCTAAAATTTGACGGTACTGATTCGTTTTGGGATTAGTTCATGGTTTATTCACGAAAGCCGAAAGCCGTGTGACAATACAGTAATTACTTCGTCATCTGGTACAAGATTTTTAACACTTCTGTAACCGTCGAAGTGTATCGGTACTATAGTAATAATAATAGTACAGTAATAATAATAGGCCTAATGATGATGATGATGATGACGATGATGATGGTTACACCAGTGGGTTAAAATTGTTTAAATGAATAAACAGTTGTTGTATTTTAACTGCACTTTCAAGACTACTGTAAATGCTCGATTAAGCGCCTCTCTCGAATAAGCGCCGCACCAAAAATGACCTTTTCCCGCTAAGCACCGCCGTCAAATAAGCTCCGCAGCGCTTAATCAATAGTGGTACTGTATGTTACGGTACCCTGTGTGTAATGAAACACTTTGACTAACAGGGTTTTATATACAATGTACACACAAGCATTTCTTTATAAACGTTTATTTACGATGACCTATGTTAAGCCTACTAAACTACGGGAATACGTGAGATGAAAGCGCCACGCCAATATATTTCTTTTTATAAGCGCCGCTCTCGAATAAGCGCTGCACTGAAGCCTCCAATATTTTATAAGCGCATTAATTTGGCACCACGATACGTAAAACTTTGGTGTTTTTTTTGTTGTTTTTTTTTTTTTTTTTTTGTACTCCGTTTTGGGTTTTCCCAAATGGTTTAATTTCATTTTTAAGGATTTGCTTTTTTGAATATCACATGAGTAAGCCTATTTTTGGTTAATGCGCAATGTGCCAATGGAGACGAAATATTGGGTTATTATATACTGATTGAGTGATTTATTTCGTCCACGCGTAGGCATCCATCGGCATTCTTCATCTTCATCGTCCTGAGTTCCCACAATCATCATGTTGATTATCACGGAACTGTAGGAGGTGAAGTGTCAGTCCTTCACAACCGGTTGTCGGGGTTTAATTTAGTTCTAATTTAATTTTAATTTCAATTTTTTTGTCTTTCTTTCTCTTTTCCTTTAGGCCTATTTTCTCTTCTTCTTATTTTCCTTTATTTTCTCCTTCCCATTGAATTCCGTTCAGGTAATTGATGGCTCAAGCTAAACTTTATAGTTCGCTGGATCCATTCTGCACGTGAGATTCTAACAGAATTATTCATCAAATACACCTTATACGGTATCTATGCATACCGGTATACTTATTTATTTCCCAATTAAGCCAAATGTACAATAAACGATTAAATAGACGTCTGACGTATGTAAGTTGGAAAGCAACTTTATACGATTGGTTTACGGTATAATTAATATTCGGAAATATAATACATTAACCTATCTTCTTGCAAAGTTGTAACGACATTATTGATGAATATTTGTTATTGCGTGAATAAAACTTGATTCTTTGTAAGTTCCAAAATGTTTTATAATATTATCAGCTCTTGAAATGCTCTGGTACTTCAAGTTGAGCGAGAGGTAATTTTTTCATACAATGTGAATTTAAAATTCGCCTGGACACAGCAATAACAATCACGTATGCGCATAAACAGCTTACTAATGTTAGGAAAAGTAAAGCAGCAGTTAGTACCCCCGTGGGATATCAATAGACGAATACAGTACTGGTAATTGCGTTACGACGCGCAAATCACGCGCCAAATAACCGAGTTTTCCGTCAACTAAGCTCACTATTTATAACTGTGTTAATATATTTCTGTGCTCCAGCACTTGGTTGCCCACTACTATATGGAACCTGAGCTCATAGAACCTGTGATTGTAATAAACTGATATTGTTTTTATCATGCAGAAATCAGTGGCGTATCTACGAGAGAGGGGGAATTACTCGCGCCCCCTCCCCCAGTTTCCCCCAAAATTATGGTCTAGTAGTAAAAAATCACCTAGAATCACTTTATTTTGCGAATTATCGCCCCTCAACTGATAATCGAGCCCACCCCCCATTTCACCTTCGCACCCCCATTTCAAGACTCCTAGATACGCCACTACTCGTGAGACAACAGTCTCACACTACGACAATCCATCTATAACTACTGAGAATGTAAACATCCTGAGTGTTAAGTCTCGATTGGCCTGGAGCGCGTACGAAAATTTTAATGTGCGCACTTGCCTTGCCATGCATATTGTTAAAGTTAAAAGGCCTACGTCGTGAACGCAAGAAAGAGTTACCGTATCAACAAAAGACATAATAGGCCTAGTTCTATAAATCTTACAATACCATTTAAAACTGCGTGGGGGAGGGGTAGGTAGGGGCCAGCGTACACCGGGGCCCAAGACAAGTAAAACAATTTAATAACATCAATATGGTAATATGGAAAACAGGATTTTTATCTATATTTAGTGTCGTTTGAATTAGGAACTACATGAAACGTCGGATTTGGGCTTTGCCTCCAAACCCCCACAGGGCTCTTGCACCTGGACCCTGCTGGGTGCTTCCAAAATCCTATGGATTATTTCACAGAGTTGCAAGACTGACTTAACAGCAATTCCAGGAAATTGAAATCAACAAAATTCCAATAGAAATATATATATATATATTTTTTTTATTTTTATTTGTTTTTTAAATTTAGGACTGATATAATGGGGATTAGTAGCTTATGGGATTGAACAGACCTGGGAAAAATTCACATGTATTGTTATAGAACAACGAATTAACTACAACCCACTTGTAAGACTACAAAGTACGTTAACATTGACCTGTACTTTACAAAAAATACATTTATAAATAGCATTTTTACCTCATAAATAGTCGTGTCGTCCGATGACGGATAATCTGGAGATGAGCCGGTTTCAACGCTCTCTACAAAGACAAGGTATAAGCCTACAATCAAACCGAACGGACGCGCACTTTCGACATTATTTATTAGTTCTATTCTACGACGCAAATTAATATAAATATCCAATGAGCCTAACAGTGATGAGTGACTGACAGCCGTATCAACACAACTGGCGTTATATATGTGATTCAGAGTGTGGCCTATGAAATACGACCAGTCGGACGTTGTCCAGTTAATTATCTACCGTTATAGGCCGACTTCATAATAACCGGTAATAACATTATCTTGCGTACGCCGAAACATTTATTGCATTTTGTACATTCAAGAACGCAATTGAATTAACCAAATATATAACATAACTATTTTTCCATTGTCAAACGCCTCCTATATATTTTTTATGCATTTAAAAAAAATAATAGATACACAGGTAATATTTATCATCATCGTCATGTCATCATCATCATCATCATCATCATCATCATCATCATCATCATCATCACATCATCATCCTCACCACCACATCATCATCATCATCATCATCATCATCATAAGGACTATGAGATTATACCAAAAATATTCAATCGAATCTTGTATTGTTATTATAGGCTAATTAGTATCACCATTATTATCAGCATCATCAAAAATCATCATTATGATCCAGATCATCATCAATAAGAGACAGATAT